CTTATGGTTCCGAAGTTATAGCTGATAAAAAATTCCACGCCTATGGGATGTGCCACGCCCCCTTTTATAAGCATCTACCATTGACATGTCTGCATACCAAGTTTCGAGTTCATGTGACTTATGGTCTGGAAGTTATGGCCCCCTTGTCGTATCCCAATTTTTTTCACCCTATTATAGGCCCAGGTGTAATGGCAATACTCTGTCATAATTTTGTTCGATTCTGTCCGTCCGTTTAGACTGCAATCTGGCACATATGTACATACATACATACTGTCACAAATATATAGTAGATTTGTCGATTTCAAAGCCCCGTTAGAAGTACGAAAACAAGTTGCCTTAATGCCGCGATGCCCGAATTTGGTATCTCTGCGAAAATAATATGGCTGTGTAAAATGGGATTGACTAATACCACCGGCTACATCAGAATTGTGATTTATCTTTCTGTCTTATAGACAAGGTGGCTCTTTAATGTGAGATTTCTTTAATCTGATGTTGAAAAGGATAATAATAGCTACAGAGCTAAACCACGCAGGTACTTTCTTTTACAAAGCGTAAACTAGCTGGCGTATGCAGATGACTTCGAGATCATCGATCTAAACAGTCAGGACGTTTTTTTTTGGCTTTCCTAAGTTGGATATGGAAGCAAAGCTGAAGGAAAAAGCAAACAGCCAACATCAGCATCTGATAAGGCAGCCGCCCTTGGAGTGTTCGAGACAGATTATGCTAAAGATTTATGGCACTTTACGAATTTTTTTCAGCGAGTATTGGAGAATACGAACGACATTGACATAGTTCAGCAAATTATTATACAACAGTTCCGCTGGCTAAGGGCTATGTCATACGAATAGATGCAAATGCTCCAGCCGTGAAAGCATTCGATGTGGTACCGACTAGTGGTGGAAAATGAAGGCCTTCTCTGCGTTGGAAAGAATAGGTGGTGAGAGACTTAGCTTCGCTCGGGGTTCCCTATTTCCGCGAGAAGAAGGAACGACCGAGACTGTATGTCAAAACGAGATAACAAAGAATATGAAGATAGCAAGCGCTAATTTCGAATTACAATTCTGTTGATGAGACGAAGGCTCAGCCAAAGTAGCAAAGGTTATTCACGGGTATCGGGAATGCACAGTCAAGGTTATAGGGTTTTAGGGTAAATCCTAACTAAAAACCCCTATAAAAAGTAGTTAATACGGTAGAGGTAGGCCGGTCGATCAGTTGAATCCAAGTTATGTGTGTGTACCCTTTTCAGAATTTGAATAACTTAAGCTATCAATCCTATCTTGTCTTTAGCGTAAAGTATTATTTTACTCTACTCAAAAAATGAAGGAAGTTTTACAAGTTAGTGGATTATGACGATGTTGTGTGGATTCAGATTAGGGATAATTATCGACCGTTTTGCCATTTACTTCGTATTAATTGATTCTATAACGATATACCCAATAGATTTATATTTTCCGAAGTTTCCCTAGTTACTCACCCAGTGTAGGAAGGTCCTTCTGTAATTGTTTCTTCCGTTGTGTTCATGGACGCCCTGACAGTATTTCGAATGACTCTCTCGAAAGCTCCCAAAACCAGGTAATGATGAATGAATTGAGGAGCGTAATATTTTTCTCTCTTTTGCCTTTCTTAACTGAACAATGCTGTGCTAACGACCAAAGTGTTGAGGCCTACGATGTCTGCACCAGCCGCAAATAAATATTGCAAATCAAACGGCTTTTCAGAAAGAAGTAGAGCCTAGAGTCTCAATAGCAGTACTATGAAGGAATTTAAAGAGGCCCATTGGCTGCTAAGTATGGTCCTAGTAAGTGTATCACAGTGGAGTATGATTTGTTCTGCTGTCTCTCAGCATTTTTCACCTTATTTAAGTGTTGATTTTCGATGTTTTCTAAAATGTGCTACATATCTCGTATATATGCTCTGTCGTGAAGTATTTTCAGGGGACTCTCCGATTGTGGCTTTCGACATCAATAACACAGGGCAAAACACTGATTTTGGTGCGGAAAATGTTAAAGCTGTTTTTGAACCGTAAGTATAAAAATTCCATCAGGTCCAGATTTTGAGAAAAACTAGGCCAAAGTGTCTAAAATCGCGTTTTTTGCAATATTTGAGAGGCCTTAGCAAAGAAAGAAAAGGTGATAGAACCTTCTGCTTCGACTTAAATTAAAGCTAGAACTCTCGACTACTGTCCCTGCATACTATCCCTGCACCTTGACCTGACGGTCACTTATAATCATTTATTGAACAATAAAAAGTGCTGAAAACTGTGCCACTAAAAAAATTGCCAAAATGGCATTCTTTCTTATTCTGAGTTTCGTAGTAGTAGTCAAAGGTTCTAGCTTTAATTCAAGCCTAAGTCCTTTAGTTTCTTTGCTAGAATTTATAAAATATTGCAAACAACGAGATTTTTTGACACTTTGACCTTGTTTTTCTCAAAATCTGAGCTGACAGCAGCTTTGTACTTACGGATTTATAATCAGCACAAATAATTCTGTCAAAAACAGCTTTGTAATTTTTACTATTATAAGCAAGGTACATGGAACAGGTAGTATCAGTAGAGCAGCTGATTTGATTTATTTTCAAATTATTTGGTCTCGAAAATGTCAAATATTTTTAATTTTTTCTCACAAAAATTCTGAATTGTTAAAATCCATTTGCATGTGAAACCTTTTTCCATACAAAACAAGCGATTGAATAGCAGCTTTTGGAACGTTCGCCCAACTCAGCAGCACAACCGCTGATTACTGGCCCTTGTAAAGGATGGATCAATGCTTCGAGAAGCAAACAAATTTACTAGGAAAGAAAGTTGCATCAATTTTTATTTTTTCCAATTTCAATTTTTTATTTTTTATAATTTTTTGTATTTCACATGGCACGCTTTGATTTAGAAGAAAAAATTCAGAACAGTTGTTGACACTTTCGATACCAGAAGCAACAACAAAATACACGCAAATGTTGTTTTTGCTCTACTGATACTACCTGTTTAATGTGCCTTGGTTATAAGATAACGATTTGTTTCACACACACACACAGCAACTGCTTATCGACGCTAACGAGTTTTGTACCAAACGCTGATTTAGGTGCTAAGAACCTCAGCTCTAAAATACGATTTAAATATTTTACAACATACATTCGATTTGATTTCAACATTTTAGTTTTGCTAATTTGCTTAATTACACTGTTCTCCAATCGGATACATTTTTCCCGTCTATCAGGGTGCATGGCGGGTAAGCCTTATATGGGTAAGCTGGTTCCAGTGGTGGTGGCGGACTTTTCTAGGTTAGCGGTAGAGATCGATCGTTTTGGGGTCTCCCGCTGAGTGCATTGTTTATCGGATTTAAAAACTAACACGGAGTTATTTATATACATAAATACACCCATACATATACAGAAATGTGTAAACAAATCATTTGAATGTTCGATGTTTCTTTTCAGCGAAACTACAACGACCAACATTAAAGTGTGAGGGATCGCTACAAAATGCCTCAGACCAATTCCCACAATGCCGCAGATGCCATCGAACAAAAGTTACTCGGCATACTCGCGGCACAGGATCTAGGCGATATAACACAAGAACTATGCGATTTCTCCCTCGAGGAACAAAATGCAACAGCCGAGGCTCAGGGCATACAACCAAGCGCTGCGGCAGACTACATACCCGTGCTGGGCAAATCCGTGACCTATATTGTAGCCTGTGTGTTGTTTAATGAGCGCGATGAGGTACTCATGATGCAGGAGGCTAAGCAATCTTGTGCTGGTGAGTTGAAATTATTATCGTTTTTAAAAGGTTTAAAAATAAACACTTTTACTTCTGAAGTACAAAAAGAAGAAGTATGATGAGGAGATGTGATGATCTCCGAAATATGGGCTATAACTTCTACCGCTTAGACTTTGTTGCCTTTTCCATTTTTCCCAATAAACATAATCGTGGTAAAAGGCTCAATAACAATAATAAACATTTTTACAATTGCATTAATTTTATTTCAGGTAAATGGTATCTCCCAGCTGGACGCATGGAGAAAGGTGAAACCATTTGTGAGGCAGCTGTGCGTGAGGTGTACGAGGAGACTGGCCTTAATGTGGAACTCACCACACTTTTGGCCATTGAGGTTGCGGGTGGTTCTTGGTTTCGTTTCGTGCTCACTGGCCGCGTAACTGGTGGCATACTGAAAACACCCGCACAAGCGGACAATGAATCATTGCAAGCTAAATGGATTTCCAGGCTCTCCGAATTGCCGCTGCGCGCCAATGACATTCTTAATCTAATTGATATTGGACGCTCCTACAAAGAGCGCGCTTCGGCACCACAGGCGCTAATGCACCATCCAGACGTTTTACCAACCAAATACTCACACCACAAGAACTACTTGCGCGTAGTGGCAGTCATACGCAAACGCGCCACCAATTCATTGAATGTACTCGTTAGTGAAAAGAATGTGCACCACTTCCCCACCGTCGAGGTGCATCCACAGCGCAGTCTTCACTCGACGCTACGCAAATTTATGATCGAACTATTTGGCGCGGAATTGCCGCAACATCGACCGCACGGCATACTAAGTGTAGAGCACTGTCCGTCACCGATGCCATACACCAGCGATGGCATCTGTTTAAATGTGTTGGTTGTTTTCCGACCGCCATTGGAAGAGGTGGCGCTCATTGGTAAATGCACGTGGCACGAGCTAGGAAGACCGCTCGAGGAAAAATTGGCGCGTATACTCTCTAATAAATATTCCACGATACCACTAAATGTTATACGTTAGATATGGGGTAGTGCTAGAAGTGGTTAGGGTGGTGGTATGAAGCAGTATGAAGAAAAGAACCAATAAGTAATAGAATAACTTATACTATATGCGTGTTTACTATGTTTGTATGTACGTTTTACTCAGGCGTACAAACTCACAAATCATACATTTAAATCGAGCATTCAAAAGCGCAAGCTGCCGTGACTGCGGGGTCGCGCGATTATACATAGACTATGTTTATGCTTCTTTTCTACGGGGTTATAAACCACTCGGGTCAATTCAACCCACATGCGTAAACATTTTTTTTATCGAGTTAGCATGTATACACGGGTAGAATATGTACACACATTGTTTCTACACCGGTAGAAATCTGAACACGGGGTTGAAATTTGTACATAAAAAATTTTAGAAGTGTTAGCCAGGGTTGCATTGGGTTTTATAACTCGAGTTGAAAATTTACTGTTTATGCTTGTTGGCTCTACCCGAGTTGAATATAACCGAGCAGTAAAGAATCATAAACATAGTAGTATCTAGATAATAGGTTTGTTCCACAAGCTACTCGGAAGTTACTTCGAGTTACACATACGCGTTCCACAAGCAAGTTTTAGAGTTTCTTTGATATACGCTCGCAGTTTGAACTTTGTTCAGGTTTTTCTACAAGTAGCCTGTGGAACAAACCTAATATCATAAGTATATAGAGAGAGAGAGACATCATGATAAGGTCACCCACGTACTGATAATTTTTGTCTACTTAATTTTTTCAGATTAATTTTAATAATTATTTATAAAAATATAATTCATTCTATAACAAGAGCCATAATCCAAGTTTCAAACTTTGACAAAAATTTATAAAAAATCAACAATGTTTTACCAAAAGTTCACACGTTTTATTCAAAACTTTTACTTTTGGGTATGCAGTACCTTTATAACGAATCTTAGCTATTTTTTTTTATATGGAAGGAAATGCGCATCACTGTCAACAAAAAGAATTGTGAAAAATTAACTTGCACTTTATACTAGAATTGAAAGGGCTATACAACTGCATACCCAAAAAAAATTCAGAATAAAGTGATGGAAATTTTAGTTTCAAACAAATTTTTTGTTTTTGGTTATAGAATAAACCATATTTTTAGTTAAAAATATTAGGGAAAAAATGGTAAAAACTTATTAATATGCGGGTGACCTTATAATTATGTCACTGTCTATATTATATGTACGTATGTACAACAATATTTATTTTTTAAATATTTTGCTTTTATATACACCGATCATTGTTTATTAAGTTGCTGTTATACAAATTTTTATGTTATAAATAAAAATTTCCTGTTAACTCTCTAAGTAATACTGCGTCATTAGTTTCTATGTTAAATTTTAGAAATTATCTCGGACTGAAGTAAAGGTAAGTTAATTAATTTAGGGCTTCACAAAAAAAAAAAATTACACTGAAGAATTGATAACAAGAAACAAAGTATGTCTGGTAAAAGCGAAAGATTTGCACTTCATATCACTCAATAACTTCAATACTGTTATAAATTAAAAAAATCCAAAACTCTAGAAAAACGGCTTCAAAGTTTTGTATTAACTAATGTATGTATACTCCCGTAGTTAAAATGAATACGTGTTTTGTTCTACACTAAGAAAAAAGTAATATGATTTTTTTAAGTGTCATATTTGGTTTTTCCATATTAGCGATTAGAAATATTTGAACAAAAAAAAATTTTAAACATCTTTAACATAAGTTTGTTTAATTGATAACAAAGTTGTGTTTTCTAGAAATTTTCATCAAGAATCGGTTCAGCTTAATAATGAAATTTAAAACACGCCAGTCTGTAACTTGGCAACATTTTGTTTGACCGATCACAGAATGGTGATTTTTATAGAGGGGAAGAAAATTCAAGCACTCCCAATTTTTCACTCACTTACTATTCTGCGTTGATTGTGTTACCATCTCATAAGCAGGGAACAAAATATTGCCCCGTGAAGTATGCAACACCAGAATTTATACAAAACTTCAAAGCTGAATTTCTGAATAGATTAAATTGTTATCAAGGTGCTTGGAATTGCGGTTACAAGAAGTGGTGTTATTATTTGGTAACACTATTTTCCGCTGTCCAAATGTTCGGTAACAAGCAGAATAGGTCTGTTAAATGAAATATGAAATTTTGACATTTGTGTACAAAGGAAAATCAAATGAGCTGTTCTAATAGCACCACTTCGTGTATATGGGTCAATCCATATTAACAATTGAAAAATAGATTTGCCTGAGATACTACTTTGTGTTCTGGAGGCAAAATAAACCGACACGTATTTTTGCATTTCAGCATATTATACGAAATTTGCAAGTTACAATTGTTTTTTTTGAAGTGCAAAAAATTGAAGATATTTTAAAACGTTGTAGTTATGCAACGAATTCTTATAAACTGTTCTTATACCTGTTTTAAATCTTTATAAGCAAATGATAATAATAAAAGGTACCAATCTTTGGAATCGTTAATTTTGTGATTAAATGAACCTTAAGATTAAAGATTATTTCATAAAGTTTTCACAGTAAGTAGTTCAGGAGTTTCTGTTTAACAACTAATTGTTCATAACAATATGCATTGTATATAACATATGTATTGGATTTGCAGATTTTTGCGCAATGTGGCTACAGAATTCATCGATATTTACCAAAAATTCATTTAATTTTAGGTGTAAAGTTGCAACGTTGCAATTTAGCGCTCATTTTGTAGTTGGAAAACCAAAAAAAAAACGTTGGCTAGATTTCTACGTAGGAACTTTACACCTAAAATGCTACAAATCGTTTACTCCCCTAATGATTCTTAAGCAAAAACTTAATTTTTTATAAAACTTTTGAAAAATGGGAATGACACCGCCCAATATCAAATAAATTTTCAGTTGTAAATTTAGTATGTAAAGAGAATACGGCATACATTTCAAAATTCCTAATTGTCCCTACGTCACTGGTGAGTTCTTGCTAAATGACTTTATTTTATTAATCTGTTGAAAAACTAAGAAAACAAAAATAAAGAGAGGTTATAATTTTCGTCTATGCAATCTTTTACTTCATACATACATACATAGTTAATCCATACCAGTCACAAGTGCCACCAGTCACAGTTTTAAATATTTCTATGAAGATTATGTTAGCCGAATTT